TTCCTGGGATTACTGGGATCACACGCCACGGAGGCACTGCATCCACGTTGGGTGTTTCCCGAGATATCGATGGCTGTCGTACACTGCTGATTGGCGGTGTGCAGCAGGCAAAGAGCAGAGGCGGTGGGCGTTCCCTCGCAAGTGGGATCCTCGCTGGAATCGCAGATTTGGCAGCTCAAGCGCTCGCTGGGTTGGAGCTAAAATTAAGATCTTGAATTAGATTGGACATAAATCGGACTTATACGTGTAGAAGGAAACAGAAATCTCAACTAAATTCCCTTAACTCAGCCAACAAACTTCAAAATAAATATTTCCCTACAAAACAGTCGATGTCTGGGTGGCGCCATCTGTTGAACTGCATGGCCAACATTAGAATTTAAAGACGTGCACTCTCTTTACGTCACCACTGCCTTATCTAAATAAGCATAGGATAGTGTCTTAAGTATTAAGTTACACTCAACCTCGGTCAATTAAGTGAAATACTTGACCTCCTTGTATAGAACAGGCTAACGCCATCTCCTAACCATAAAAGAGCTTACTCAGCTTTTCAAAGTTTAATGGTTACACGCAGTAATAGTTCCCAACTGGTTCTAGCTGCTTGTTGGTAGTTACCCGTTCAACGTTGAAGATTCGGATTGGTTATTTAGTAAACAAGCATGTCCGTTGATGCTTCGCTCCTCTTCTTATAAATTGGCACAAAGTCGCGATGTAGATTTACCTCAACTTCCCACTATATATAAATTAATTCATATAAAACTAAAACATAAGCCCACCTGCTGGTTGCAATTAGCCCCAGTGCACCTCAGGCACTTGGTGCTGTTGCTATCCTTGAGACACTCCAGGTAGTCCTCGCCCTCCAAGCTAGTCAGACAACCCCTCTCCGTGTGTCCATTGTCCAGGATCCTCGAATAGCAGTCGGTGTTAACTAGACTTTCGCACTGTGTGCTCGTAATGACATCCCCGGGAGCCACTGCACAATCTTCATCCGTTCGAGAACTGCACAATGTGCAACTTTGAGGTTTGGGTAGAGCGGATTTCACATTGCAATTGTTGCCACTGCAATACCACAATTGCTTGTTGGTTTCCATCAAGGTGACATCGCTGACGTTATATTGACTCAGGCAGCCCATCTCGTAGATGGTTCCTGCGGCATCGAACTCGATGAAGCAGCTCTCTTGGTTGTCTCCCGATGGAACAGCCCGGCAGGTTTTCGATTGCGGACTAGAGCAGTCTCCTTTGCAGTAATTACAGCTTCCGCGGACACCCAGGTCCACGGTATTACAATTCTCGGAATTGCAGGCTACGCAATTTTCGAGCGATCCTTCGACGCAAGCCTCCTGATCATCCAGATCCAGATCGTCCAAGCAACTACGGACCAACTCCAAGGGAGCACCAACCTCGTCATTGGTGGGATAGAGTGCTGTGAGACAGCGCTGGTTGCATCTCCTCTTCTCGGTCACAAGTTCGATGTCGAACACACAATTATCATCGCTTTGGGCATCGCACACAACGCACTGAATGAGGTTCGCGTTGGTTTTCAACGAATTACATCCGTGCGATCGGCACTCGTAGCAGTTATCCCCGTTTTCGTTGCAAACTGATGCCAAACTATCGCTGCATCCTCTTTGAGTCACAGCTCCATTGGCGTTGAAAATGGCAACGCAACTTTGGCCATCATTACTTAGACATTTTCTCAGGGCTCCGGATCCCGCAGAGCATTCTTCGAGGGTGGAACACTCGTAACAATTGATGGGGCCCAAATGCCAGTTGTGGATAAAGGCATCTGCAAAGAATTCAGGTAATGATTTTAAATCGAATATCGAATATCATAATAATCCTCAGACTTATCGCATGCCTATGCATTAAGACATAATTCCAGAAGAAGGCAACCTAATCGCCAAAAAAATACGTTAATAAATTCGTAATTAATGGCAGCACGCGGCGTGTTACGTATGAAAGTGTTTATGACCCGGTAATCGAATTTCTCATTATTTATGACCACCGATGTCCTATGGCTGCCGTTAACACAACCGCGCGATCTTTTTCCCCGTAATCAGCTAGTAAATTAATAATTGGTTTGGTGTGCCGGTGAGCCATAAAATGGCCAATCGAATGCCAATAAAGAAACGTGCTATAATACAAAGAATAGGGAAAGTTACAATTTCCGGGTTTTCTATGCACGTTATGGTTCTTAAGTACAATTCGTAACCATATGTTTTTCAGATGCTCTTTCCGAAGCTATAAAAACCAAATATCCCATTTAACGAGGTTTTACAAAACGGAAAGTTACCTTGGGTAACGATGAAATATGAAATCGAAAGCGCTTTCAAACTAACTCGGCAAAAAAAAAAGAAAAATATCCTTCGTCGCAAATGAGTCTACAATTGTTTAGTCAATTTCTTATTATAAAATCTCCTTCTCAACTATGTAATTAATAAATGCACTACTTTTAATAAGTTTAATGTGACATTAATAACTGGGGCAAATAACATATCTCTTCAAGACGATCCTTCATCATCGAGGAGTTTCGATGCTGTCGTCAGCTATTGGTGATGTTGGCTATTTTCTGTGGAAAGGTATATCTTAAACGAGAATCGCTCCTCCCCTATTTCAAAAAAAAATAAATGCTCTGTTGTCTTAATATAAACAACGATAAAAACATTTAATTAAATATTCTTCTTTTTTAACTGTTTTTCTCAGAAAGAAACTGAACATACCTTTTTTCGGTTTTAATCTGAGACTGACAGGCTTGAAACTAATGGTTGATTAAATTTTGTGAGCTTTGAAAAAAACCAAAACTCAAAGTAAAGGTATAGTCAAGGCTGGCAAGAATTAAATATTTCTTAAATGCCATGTATTCGAAAATAATTGAATTTACTCAAGTCGTGAATAATAGGTACTCCGACGCTTTAAAATATATTATATTCTTGATAAGCATTAATAACTCAGTAAACCTTTTCTAATTTTTCTAATGGATTTTTATAACGTGTAGTTTCCATTTTTCAAAGTCCAAACTCAACTTATAATCTCTTCGTTGGCCTAATCCATATAAATCAAGAAATGTGGATTTCCGAGTAAGTCGAACAATCTGATTAAGTTTGCAAGAGTTTCGCAATCTGATGGACACACGAAAAGCACTATGATTATGAACTATAGACTTTTGAAAAAAACAGAAGACTAGCCTTTCATAATCAATACAAGTTCCGCCTTGATGTCTCATCATGAAGTGTTAATTTTTATTGATATATGATAAAGGTCTAATATAACTCATAAAGATGAGTCATAAAAGTCGGCGCGATTGACGGGCTTTTTTTACTCCTTTTATTCAATGTAAAAAGGGAAATAACACGAGTAGATACTTTCGATAGATTAGATAGGTTAATCGTCTTTTTTTTTCTTTTTTGTTCAGTGGATATTCCAAAGTACATTTCAACTTCGTTTTCATTTCTAGATTGTTCATATATAGTTTATATATAAATCTTATTAAATTCAGTGATCCTTTTTTTGTTAATTTTCAGTTAAGTAACTTAGAATTCGGATTCCTTCATATGATATTGACTTTAAATAGTTTCGTTTATGTAACTTTGTTGCAGTTGGTTAACTCATTTTTTTTTTTTATTTTTCGCACTTGAACTATCACGATCACTTTAACTTTGGATTATCCTTCGTCCTTGGTTTAGACAAACACCTACCACTTGACTGATTTATCACAAGAAGTAGCAGGGCTACTCCTGCAGCCGTTGATTTCATGATCGTTTTGAGGGCCACTTCAGGTCGACCACTCGCGTATTTCCGTAATAGCCAGAAAAATGAATTCAGGCAACTAAGTTTTAGCTGGCTGAAGTGAGGCCTTTTATAGATTTTCGACTGTGTGGCGGCGACATGCTCGAGCTATCGATCGACCGATGGGTCCTATCGGGGCTGTTTGATTATTGCTCTATATTAGGGGTCCAAAGCGATTATATTGTAGGCGCTGTTGCCATAGCTCTATGGCCGATAAAGCTTCGTTATTTATAGCCGATTGAATGGAATTAACATAAAAAGCAACAAAACTATCCAGATAAGCCGACAATAATCAGGCGAAAATGGAGTCGTGAACACGTTTATACATTCGATAGGGTTCTCCTCCGATGGACAGGCAATATATATGTTGGCTGATTAGAGGATTTCAGCCATAAAAAGCGGCTAAATGGAGGCCATCGATTCGCTTGTCTAACTATGCATTCTTATTGGCAATTGCATTTAGTTTTGCGTAGTTTCTTTTATCTCTGCACTCAATTGCACTCATCTATACGAGAAGGTAAAATGGCTTAAAGCTTCGAAATTCGATACCTTATTCTGTTAATCGATAGTTTAACTTGTCAGATAGGTGGAGCCTTATGGTTTTGTGGTTGTAAATCACATAGTGGTTTTGGTAAAGCCCAGATAGAGGTACAAGACTTTTCGTAAGAACTTAATCTCTAAACGTTTTATTGGTGTTGGTTCGACTTTCAACAAGCTATTAAATCATTTCATGAAATCAATTCTAAGTAACTAGTACTAAATAAATGAATACATTAAATGATTCATAGCCAATTTTTTTTTGTTCAACGTCATAGGTGAATCAACACTCTTTAATATATGATCAATTTAAACTAAAATCGAAAATATCGCTGTCTTTATATTAAAGTGCTGATTATTCATTGATATTGGGTTATTCCAATTAGTTAATAATCTTGTTTAATCTTGACTACCTCAAAACAATTAAATACATCATGGAATCAAACATGATTTCAAATCAAGCATTGCTTTACTATCTCGAAAAACCAAAATAAGTCCTTGAATCGCATTAAATCTTATTTGACGATTGCCTAATCGTCACTAATAAATATGATGATTATATAAATAGGCTTTTTACTTAAAGCTTATCTGGCTCTAATCGTTGACATAACAAGCTACGCACCGAACTCTGGAGCTCAACCATAAAAACCAAAAGATTGCCATTAATGGCGACAAACAATTTATGGTAATCTCATAAAAATTAGTTTAATAATAGTTGTTCATAGATTGTTTTTGGAGAAGGTCGTGGGAACTAAATATGAAAGCCTATTTAAGATGGTTATAAACACAAATGGCCAATTGACCAAAGATCAGGAAGAACGAAACGTGCAGGCCAAAAGCCGAATTGGGTTTGCCCGTTGTGGTTGGAATCTCCTCAGTCGTTGAAGTTTCAGTTGATGAACTAGTTGAAGAACTAGTTGAAGAACTGGTTGAAGAACTAGTTGAAGAACTAGTTGAAGAACTGGTTGAAGAACTAGTTGAGGTACTTGTTGTTGAATATGTTGCTATTGTTGAGCTTGGTGTTGATTCCGTTGATGAACTCGAACTTGGATCTTCAGTTGTTGGGGAATCATCTGCTTTTACAAGTTGATCATTGCAGTGGGGCTGTTCCAAAGGATCGCACAAGTGACAGTTTGGATTGGACAGACAATTCACTTGATCTGAAAGGCTCAGGGAACATCCTCTTTCCAACCGATTCCCTACCAAACTGGCATAGCAAAAACTTCTGCCCGATCTGGCAATAGGACATTGCACAGCCTTCAGAAGTTCAGGGGATTCAGCACACTGTGCGTCCTTTAAGAAAACAGTTAAAATAAAATTTACGATAATTTTAGTTCTTATAATTACCTCTGTATTATTACACTGAAGACAGCTACTTTTTTTGGACCCCAAATTGTTGCACTTTTCGGATACACACATCTCGCAGGCAACTTCATGTCCTTTATTATTTTCATGGCATTTTTCTCTCCAATCATCCTCAAGACTGTCCAGACATCCTTGCGCCTCAATAACCCCTTCATGAAAGACAGTCACGCAGGCATCCATACGATCTGAGCATTGTTCTTCCGCCTCATAGGTACTTCTCTGGCAATTAATACCCCGACAATAAATGCATTTTTCCGATGCCAGCACACAGGTGCTAGCCAAAAGCAGTAGTGCGATCAAAAGTTGAGAACAATTTAAGTTTAACATTGCAGAAGGAACATTTAGCATTGAAAGGTTGTCAATCGCTACCCATCGCTTTATATAAATTCTGCTCGCTCAGGAGTTTATTTCAGATATTCCTTTTTAGATAGTCGAGTGAAGTATGTAAGCAAAATTGTTAAGTGATTGTCCACCTCTCTTCGAAAATTGCATAAACAATTCTGTTGTCTTTGTGGGGTTTCTTAAGCCGTAATGCCCTCAAGTGCCTCTGAGTTCTTGTGGGGTATTTAATAAAGTAGTTCCTGAGTCAAAAGTAAACAAACAAGTTGACAACGTTAATGGAATTTTTTGTTATTAGCCGGCTATCTGCCTAGATTAGACAATGAATTAGATCAAATGTTATTTAGATGTTTTGAAGTGATAATATTGAAGGTTGTATAATAACAATCAAAATCGGTGTCATCAAAAAAAGTAAATTGCTTCAACGAAGATTGTCATTGGGTATCGCTTTTGATATTAAAAAAAAAACCAATTCTTCGAGCCACGAATTGTTAAATTATACTGCCTAGATTGATAGCTACTCATCTTCAAAAGTTAAACAAACCTCTAGATACAAATTAATTTAAAAAGGTTTCTTTACAATAAAACACTTTTCAGAAATGAACCACAGTTAATCTTTTTTTTTCTCTGAACATTACTATTTGTATTTTTCCTAATTTCTCGGTGTTAAAACAACTTCCTTATAAATTAATGCACTAGTCACAAACTAGCTTAAAGAGTATTTGTGTCTTTAGGAATTGGTCACTGAAGTTCTTTAAATGGCACAAGATTGAATTTGTTTATTTAACAAAGCACTAAGAATAAACATATCTTATGAACAGAATCAAGTTTATTTTTTACTTTAATCTACCTATTCATTATGGTAATAAAAAGGTTTGAAATATTAGAAGAAGTACTGTATTATTGCCAATGTTTTATTTTGAGTGCATTTTAAGATTCATATATTAGTAATATTTTAAAATTTTATTTTGATTCTAAATACATTGTTCAAATTATCTAAGGAATCGAATGAATCGATTTCCAACATTAGAGCTGTCTTCGGCGATATTGGCAGCATTGCAGTTCCTAATATCTCCAGACGAGCACAACAGGCAGTTGGCATCATTCAGACAGCTCTGCTGGTCGGTTTCGGTGGTGGAGCAACCCCTTGTAATGATTCCACCCGAGGATTTCACGTAGCAATACGAGTTTGCAGCAGTAGGGGCAGAACAGCGGGTCGCCTCCAAAAGAGCTGCATTCGAAGCGCAATTGGAGTCCTGAGAGGTTTACAAATTTATGGATTAGATATGGTATGCTGTGAAAAAACTATGTACTTACCTTGCTGGAATCACACTGAATGCAGGCATATTTGGCCGACCCCACATTATTGCACTCTTTCGTGTTGCACTTGTAGCAAGAGCGATTATCATTGCACTTCGAACGCAACTCATAGGGAATTTCCAAGGAGCAACCCTTGAAAAGGACCTTGGCTGGAATATTTGAAAAATATTAATTATTAAGACATTGATTAAGCAAGTTAGCTATCTCAAACCACCTTCATCGTAGATGGTCACACAATAGTCCAAGGAATCCACACAGGACTGCGTTTTACTCAGTTGAACCCTTTGGCAATTAGCTCCCTCGCAACTGTGGCAGGAGGTCACCGTGTTCCCCACCGCCTGACCCACCAGAACCACCAGCACCACCGCACTCAGCATGTTAGCAATTGTTTGGGCCTTCATTTTCGGGCGTCGACTGTCGGGCAATTGGCCAATGCGATCGGCTTTTATACCACAGACCACTTCAAATGCTTCACTGGAGGGTCCTCAACAGCGGTTTCTTTCAGTGTGTGATTGTGTGTGTGTGTGTGTGTATGTACAGGTGCGTGATTGCCCGTGAAAATGGCCAAACACTTGAGAGTGTTCTATGAAGAACCGACAGCAGAGGACAGTGGAATATCTACAACGATTGATAGAACAAATTACTCATCCCCTCGATGAGTAAACCCTACTGGAAAGTTGAGATAATAATACAAAATCACATTACAAATATAGTAAAATAACAAAAAATAAAATTAGATTGTGGTAAAAGTATAAAAATTGCAGAACAGACCTAGCAAAATTTATTTGAATTCCGTCTGAAAAGATATAATACAACACATACTAAAGATCAGACAATAGATTTTCATCCATCCTCGTTAGTAAAACAGCAATTAGTTTAAGTTTTCTGTAATATATCTGAGCAAAACTAAACTATTTTCTTAAGTGTAATTATTTGTTTACCCCCACGCAATACTACAACACACTTGAAGTGCCCTCTAAAATAAACTGTCAGCGAAAGAACTCCGATGTGATTGATATATATATTCAATGTTATTATTCAATGTTATTAATCACATGCTAGTTGGTTGATGGAAAAAAATATACACAATCCAAAAAGCCGATAAGCCAAAAAAACAAAACATTTTGTGGATAGGTATTTTTTCATTTTATTTATATTTAACCAAAGAAAAATTAATTTAGCACTTTAAGCAAGAGCAAGGCAATGCAAGCCAAGCCCAAGCTCATTAGCTTTTGACCTTGGTCGGCTCCCGACTTGGAATTTAAATCTAAATCGAAATTATTGCAGGCCACGGAATCGCTGGAGTTGTCCGGGATGCAAAGCGAGCACTCCGAGTCCTCCTTGCAGGATTCTTGCTCTTTGACCGACAGAGCACAGCCCCTTTGCAGCTGATCTTTCTGATTGCCAACGACCTTGACATAGCAATAGGAATTTGCGGAGGTGGGAATGCCACATTGGGAGGCGGTTAATGAGCCGGTGGCCCCCTTATTGCAGGACGCCGACTGGTGAGAAGAAAAATTTCAAAAAACATGAGTTTAGTTTAGCAAAACAATGGGTATTTTAAAATACATCACATTTAAACTGTAAAAGTCAGCATTACGTGTGAAAATGACTGTGTAAAATTTTGAATCGATTGCAATTTTTTGTACTTACTTCAGAGCCAATGCATTGAATGCACTTGAAGTCCCTGCGTCCTTGGTTATTGCACAGCTGACCACTGCATTTTTGGCATTGGTTGTCCTTTGCCGCGCACTTTGCCTGACCAGCTAAAGAAATCTCTGAAAAGCAGCCCCGCTCACTGACAGCAACTAAAATAGTTTTTCCTTAATTTAATATTTAAAATTCGAAAAGACCTAAAACTTACAGTCCTCGTAAATGGTAACGCAGACGTCCAACTTATCTGAACAACTAACGGTGGCATTCTGACGGGTCGTTCTCATGCAATTTACACCCTCGCAGCTATAGCATTTGGGCAGATCTGCTGCATTCCGTACTTCAGCGGAAATTTCTGCCGAAATTTCTTGAGATCCCAGCAATATAGCTAGCGAAACTAAAAATAAGCCGGATTGCAACATTTTTTGGGAACCTCCAACACCTTTGCCCTACCGAACAGAACTGAAACTAAGCTGCAACTAATTTAGAAAAAATCGAACAAATCCACAATTGTTTTTCGACACTTGAGAAAGTTCACATTAATCAGTCAGTCAACAGACTGATAACGAAACTACAATGCAGTACTTGTTGTGCCAAGCAATTTCAAGATGTTTCCCTATAGATTAGTGATTCTTGCTGGACTTATATCACGGCATGTTCGTTTTGTTTGCTTGGCCATTAGGTATCTTATCTGGCTTATGCCTGACAAATGAGTAAAATGTAAACTATTATTTTCCGCTTTTTTTTTCCTGCAGTGACTTTATACTTTTAAAATTAACAATTATTTATTAGCATTTGTTTTGATTTGTATTGTTATTATTTTTTGATGATTTCTTATCAAATATGCTGGCAATTTTTAAGTCTATGAAAGGCTTTTCTATTGCCCATCGGCGGTCATTTGATAATTTATTTGCCCTGCGCTTATCTGAAACTTATCGGCTTGGATCGGTATGAGTTATGGCAATAAATTTTTATGACACACAGGCCTTTAATCTAAGTGTGCAAAAGATAGGAAAAGTAAGACATTTGTGCTTTTAATTGAACGGTATCATTTGACATTGACTTCCTTAGTTTCAATTAAATCAACGAATTAAACTTAATAATACTGATGCCTTACATAGTAAAGACCTACAATTTTGCAGCACCACTTTAATGCTGAGGTCAAACTTTGTTGGCCAGCCAAATAAAGCCCAGCTGTACTTATTTGCATACATTTACAACAGATTTTCCCTTACAACCAACACAAGGGGATTACGTTTCACAATCCAAAAAATAGGGGAGGGCGAAAAGCCCCCGAAATGGAAAAGAAAAAGAAAATAATACAAACATAACAAAGAAATATGCAAAGCAGATGAATTGGGGATAAAAATGCGTAAAGGAAAATAAAATGTAAGAAAGCGGGAGAACTGAAATCATTACACCAAAATTGGGAGCTTATTCGGGGCGAGTAGAAAGTTTTTAGCCTTGGTAATAGAGAAAGGCAAGTGACTCAAACAAAAATAAGTGTGAGCCAAGTAAGTAAGTTCATAGAAAAGTAAATATAAAGGTACAATAAAATTGCAAGATGTTTCCAAAAAGGTTGAGTTAAAGGTAAAAAAAACATTAATAGGTTTGGTCTTGATGAGTTCCTTCCTTGACGTGTCCAACTTATGGCTTATAGATCTTATATACATTTTCTTCTTCCTTCTTTTTTCGTGATTTTGTAACATTTTTAACCTTTTAATAATGTACAAATTGACGAAATACATTTAAGGGAATTTTAAGAAGCAATTCAATTTTTTGCTTTTACCTTCCTTGCTATTTTGTACTGCTTTTAAATGTTTGTTGTCCCATTATTTCATTGTTAATAAGGCTATACTTAAAACCCGCTTTTAAGACCCTTAGTACCCTCTATCCCTTATATCTATCTGACGACTCCGCTTGCTCTTGGCAGCTTTAGCTTATCAGGATTTGGATGAAATAGTCCCTTGGGGCCACCGTCCACGATTTCATTCCGATCCACGCACTTGACTTTCTCCACCCGCGCCATGCTGAGGAACCCCTTGCCCCCGCTGACCACGAAATGGAACTCATCCATGCCGGCACAGGCGGCAGCGTAGATGCCCCGCCGATTGACCACCACCACGCCGCCGTTGAACTCGGTATTGTGTTTTAGCACGCGCTGCACCACCCACTCGGCGGCCTTGTCGGGCTTTTGTCCCGCTCGCAGGGCTTCGACGGCCAGAAAGGCGGGCAGGTGGCGCATGAGGACATCGCCATCCCCGCTGGCCACCGCAGCTCCCACCGCGTTGTCCGCATAGATTCCGGCTCCCGGCACTGTCGCATCACCCACCCGTCCGGGGATCCGAAATCGGGCACCACTCGAATGGCTGGCCACGTGGAACTTGCGCTCCGCGTCCAGTGCCAGGAAGGCCAGCTGATCGTGGTGACCCGGGACGATTGGATATTCCTGGTGCATCGGTTGGCGGAGCATGTGCTGGGGCAGGGGAGAGTATGGACCACAGTTGTTCATCGGCGGCGGGTGAACATCGCGCCAGAAGTTCGGCTGGCAGCCGGTCAATTGCCATTTTTTCAGGACATACTCGGTGCGCATACCCGCAGAATAATCCTCCTTGTAGCCCATGGACCGGGCAAATCTTGCAGCACTCTTGCCCACCAGCAGCGAATGTTTTGTGTGCCGCAGTACGGCATCGGCTACAAGGATGGCATTCCGAACTCCCTTCATTCCGGCCACTGCGCCGTAGCCCAAACTGGAGCCATCCATGATGGCTGCTTCTAGGGTGAGGTCGCCCTGGGAGTCTGGAGCAGATCCTCCGGCCAGGAGGTGGCCACATCGCGGGTGTTGACAGGCCAGGCATCCTTGGATCACCGCCTGGCGGGTCCTTTGCGGACCCTGCTGCAAGACACTCCATGCCTGCAAGTTGGCATCTGTGTAGTTCCACGTACTGATCAACAGCGATTTATACTGTGTTTTTTTGGTGCCAAACACTTTCGACGTTCTCTGTCGCAACTTTGTGCTCCAGAAGTACCTGTGTGATTTTTCCTGAACGGTGCAAGTAGATTTCAGTAGCAGGAGGGGGATCAGCAGTCGAATGCAAAGACTTTGCGCCAACATACTCCGGGTAGAACTTATTCATGACTGAAAGCGGCAACAATCGAGGAAGGGAACTCACCAAGTTCTGACTGGTGGTTAGACAATAGTCATAGTACTTTTATAAATTGTAAAGCGACTCACCATTAAAGTAAGCTTTTAAATGACAAACTTTTTGAAGAGTTAACGCTGAAAAACAGATTTTAAATTGCAGACCAGTTGGAATTTGTACTACCCGTAACCAAAAGAGTTAAAAGTTTTTGATTTTGAAAACAGTTTAGGGGTTCAGCAAAGTATAAAATGCCTCTTAAATATTTTAAATTACTAAAATGATTTCTCATGTAGTTTTTTAAGTAATTTAAATCATTTAAGGTAGTGGATTTTTTAAACCCTCAAACTGTTTACAAAATTCGAAAACCCAAAGTGACAAAACCATACAAAAGATGTTTACCGAAAGCATACCGTAAAACCTATGAATTAGTGAAGCATGGAATTTACACCTCCCCCAGCAGATATATTACAAGTCTGTATATCTCAGATACATTTTGATTTATTTACTACAAACAATTTGCAAGTATTTATCCGATTCATGCATTGTCAACAAGCAAAATATCAGCCATACAAACTCATAAGATACAATATTTGTTATGCATCGAACTTTGTCTATATAAATTTATGGGTGTTCGTTTGTTTGCTTGATTGCGTATGTGTATGTGTGGTGGTGTGAATGTGGGCGTAAATATCTTATGAAAACAAAACTTTTGTTTCACAATCGCCTGTGAAAGGAGGAGAAAACGACTGCCAATAGGTAAGGGCTGTCAAAATTGCCACCCACTCACAAATCGAATGTGTAAAATCGGGAAAAAATATTTCAGCACACTGGTTTTTGGCAATGTCAGTGTAAAAATATTTAAGTTAATTATTATTATTAAGTTAATTTTTGAGGGGAGGTTCTTCTTATTTTGACATGATTATATTTGTGGCATGATGAAAAACATACAAACATTCGTTAAACAACAATAAAAAGTTTATTGACGACAAAATTTAAAATGACGTCTAAAAACAGGCGGTCACAAGCTTCCAAATTTAAAGTGCCCAGCCCTTTTTAGAGAAATCAAATAAATAAGCTCTTTTGTTTATTAATTTTGATTAAACTGTGATACTCATAATTTTTGTTAAAAAAAAAACCTATTTTTACAAATGTAAGTAATAAATTAGATTTCAAAAAATTATAATTTTGTATTTAATGTTAAGCGTAAAACATTTTTCGACAATCGTTTTGGATTATTATTGAAGTAAGTAATTTATTGCTGATTGGATGTGGTCCCACGGTTATGTGGTTTCCCCTGGCATTTGCCAACTCCTCCCTTTCCACTTATCTAAAATGCTGTTTTTCTCACAATTGACTTCAATCATGTTGGGCATATGTATTGACTGCTGATTGATTGATGAAGCCCAGCAAATGCTTAGTTGTTGGGCCCAAATTGCATAAATCCTTGGCGCCCGGCCTTCGTTTTCCTTTTGGCCCACGTTATTTTGGCCTGCGGTCCGCTTCCTCTCCCTCACTCTTTCTCCCTCTACCCCTCTCACTCTCACACGCATGTAATTACGTTTATTGTGCGTTTGAGATTTGTAATTCGATGGCCCAGTATCTGCGTTTGTGCCTGTAAATGCATCCAAATATATATGTATAAGTGTGCTAGCCAGTTTTGGTTCGGTTTTGGCCGTGTTGATTGAAAATGGCTTAAGTAATCGACAGTTGAGTGGCTGATTTGATTGCTGGTGTTGTAGTTCGGTTGTCACTGAATATTGTTCGCTATTCTTACTGCGATTTGGCATTTGGGAATTGTGGGAATCCCCTGGCTTGAAGTGAATGTTAGGGAATTCCTCTAAAAGTAAAGCAATGTATTCATAGTTCAGAAAATACATAAAATAAAAAATATTTGCTGAATTGTTTGAACTTAAAAATAAAATCTATGGTGTGTTCTTTTGTAGAATACATATGTATTTAAAAATCTAAACATTAATTAAAAGGTAAATATTATTATCCAATGTATATTAAATATAAAAAAACTTCAAAGAAGTAAAAGTTATATATAGTCTTTCTTTCCGCTCTTTTTCACAACAGATGCCTTATGCCTGGCAGTAAGTAACCAATTTTATTCACCCACTTCATTTGAATGGTATACCTTTGATTTGGTTTCAGTTACCGCAAACTACTTTCAAAAATTAGCAGATTGACAGCGCCACATCCTTTCACTTCCTTCGCTTCCTTCACTTAACCCCCGGCGCCACATTTCTATGTCAGGTACAATCTTTGAGTCTGAACCCTGACCCAGATTCCCCCCTAAAGCCCCCTCTTACCTCCGCCCTCCTAGAACCATCCCAAGAACCACCACAGTCTGCAGAGGCTCTTGAGCGGCTAAATAAGCTTGCTGGCGGCTACAAACACTTTTGCGCCTGGACGCAGCCACGAGCACCACTTTGAGTCGAGCGGTTTGGCGGTGGGGTGGCATGGGTTAAGTTGCTGTGTGAAGCAAAACGTAAATAACTCGCCAAAGCCAAAGCCAAAAGCAAACAAACAAACTGCCAGGAGGAGTAGAAGCAGAAGGCTAAAGGAGACGCCGGAGCAGAAGCAGCAGAAAACCGAGCCAAAGAAACGTAAAATGCCGCAAAATGGCGCAAAAGAAAATCCACTTTTCCAGTAAAAAGTTCTTCACATTATTTGCTGTTGTTGTTGCTGCCACTGATGCATGTACTGCTCCTCTGTTACCTGTTACCTCTTGCCATTTACCATTTACCTACCCGTTACCTTTGCTTTTGGCCAAAATGCCACCATTAGTTGACCTGAAAATGGCTTGAAGTGGCGCTCAACTCTTCTCCTTTAGTGGCTTCCACATGCACTCCAATATTTAACATAAACAAATATAAACGAACCACTTCAGCGGCTGTCTCTGTGGGTATATCTCAATCCAGTCGGGGAACATGGGGCTAAATATACCAACAATATCAACAGTTAGTGGTGTCCTAAGGAGATTTAAAGGTATACAACTAAGCAAATAAAATATAAAATATTTTTTTCTAAACGATTTTACAATTTCTTATGAGAATAACTTATATTAGTTGATTATAATTTATAATTATAACTTTCGTTTTTCAGGCAAGAATACCTTCATCAATTATGTGTTCTTTAGTATTTATTACATTGTTTTTTAATTATATGCGAAACTATATAAATATTATTTGCCGTATTTTTGGGTCTTTTCACCTATTTTTAATAAGGATATATCATAAAGTATGGAAATTGCGGAACTCTACCAGGCGGTTACTGAACTGGATTAATAAAGCAACATTCCACACAGTCTCTAATCAATTCAAATCGAATAGACAACTACTTGTAATCAAGATGAGATCCACCACGGAGGAAACCAGTTTCAGCGGACACCCAAAGAGAGTTAGTGGCAGATTTTTCTAGTTGTCAAACCTTTGGGTGGGCAATTTTAAGCAGAACGCGACATCGAGCAATCAAAACTGCCATGATTAATGTCAGCACAATTGACATAAAGCATTGGCCATGGCCGAGAGTGGAAATCGCCGAGGGCCAGCCGGGCCAACTGGAAAAACTCGAAGCTGAGTGGCAGCCAACTTGGTCAGCCCGGCCAACTGGAGGATGCAATTATTGATGGATTATTTACTGTCAGCACTGTCCGTTATGACAATGAGATATGGCCACAGGGCGGGATGTCTGTCTGGAGAATGTCTGCAGCCAATGACATCGACTAGACGCACGAGTAGTTGGGGCTTGCTGCCCTGGAGCCCGAGTCATTGAATCTTGCTCCTTTTGGCATCTTGCGCATCCCTGACTTTGCAATTTATGGCCCGCAATTATCTGGAGTGTGTGTGTGTGTACATCATTAGTATTCAATATATTCAATATTCACTATCATTGCATTGATGCATTAATTGCGCGTAATCACCTTTCATATTAATAGTCGAACAATGGTGGTGGCAGTACCTTGGAACATAACTCTCACACAAGAAAAACGTATGCTGCTTATGATACTAGAAATTTACTTTATTTGAGAACCAAACGAATGAAAGAATATATGTTATAGAGCTTATTGACATGACTTTTTATTTAAGATTTCTGAATGTAACTTATTGGGCGCTCACAGTTTCAGATCTTTTGTGCCCAACGTTTAAGAAATTTTTTAAAACAGTGTCCAGTGTGACTTATTCCTAAAAGTAACCATGCTTTTCTACTGTGCATAACTCCCAAGAAGGCAGCCGTGCCCAAAGTCAAAGTCAAGCGCTGGCGACGCCTTCGCTCATTTGCATATTTCGTGTAATTATGCGGGGAAATTACAACGGGAGCGATGGGCCACCAACCATCATCGTCGAAATCATCATCATCCTCACAATCCATCGCATAACTTCTTGTCATGGCCCTGAGACTTTGGCTGCCAGTCGGACGCAGACATTTGCCGTTAATTATGTTGACAGCATTGACAGCGCGCTGGGGATCGCGATTGGGATTGAGAATGGGGATATACATATATACGCCATAGAACGGCTGGGGGACCACCAGCCATGTTGTGTCAATCGATAAACGTTTAATCGCCTTGAATTGATAATAGCCAACTGCCCATTATGACCGCGCTGATGTCCCGTCTAATGGACAATTTGTGTTGCGACCAACTTTTGATTTGGCCGCTCAATCACATTTCGAATGCAAAACGTCAAATCGCAGCGGAAATGAAGACCAAAAAGTTGTGATTCCTTGATTCCCAATGATTTGAGCAATTTCCATAAATTTATTGGGAAATTATGAAAAGGCCGTGGGAGTGGAAAATCTTCGAATTAGAGTTTCAAGTTTCTCAAATTAAGTGATCTTTAGAATGTAAAATATTAGTTTGTCAAAATTTATAATACATTTTTAAAACTAATAAAGTGAATAGTCTGAAAAAAAACAAACCTAGCAAGTTTAGAAAATAAAAGATTGAGTGCTTAGAAAAAAAATTACT